TCCCTCCCCCCCTCTCTCTCTGTCTCTCTCCCTCTCTCTCTCTCTAACTCCCCCTCTCCCTCTCTCCCTGTGTCCAGGTTCGTATCGTGAGCAAGTCGACCTCCCCGAGAGATCCGGTGAAAGTTCCACCCATGGAGGACTTGATGAGGGACGTCGGGGACGGTTGTAACGTGGCCGCGCTCATAGCGTACTACAGGCCGGGGCAGCTGAACATCCGAGGTGACTGCGTTGTTGTTGTTGTTGTTGTTGTTGTTGTTGTTGTTGTTGCTGCTGGGTGAAGGGTTTAGGTGACCAGGGAGTCTGTTGTTGTGAACATTCTCCTCTCCTCCTCTTCTTCTTTTCTTCTTCTTCTCTTCTTCTTATCTCATGCTCTACTCCTCTTCTCCTTCTCTCCTTTTCTCCTCTCCTCCTCCTCTTCTCCTCCTCCTCTTCTCCTCCTCCACCTTTTCTTTTTTCCGTTCTATTTGTACAATAATTGTGGTATAGAAATGTTCCCAAGATGACCCAGTTTGCCTGTAACATCTGTCACATGTCATACCCCTCCTCCAGCGCGCACTCACGTAATCTTCTCTCTCTCTCCCCCACAACCACCGCCCACTCGCCGCCACTGCCCTCTCGCCGCTGACTTGCCGCCCACTCATCACCAGACGTCTGCCTCAAGGACAGCATCGGCATCGCCGACTCGCTCTACAACCTGCGCCAAATTGGCCAGTTTTGCCGCAACCACCTTCCCTGGCGCAGCTTCCACCTGTCGTATGAGGACCTGCTGTACACCCACGACAGCATGCGGGTCAACATCCTCACCTTCCTGGCCGACCTCTTCTACTGCTTCGAGGGCCCCGGGGCCAGTCTGGCCAATGGGAACCCTGGCAGCATCGAGCAGGACCGGTTAGAGGGTACGTACCACCGCTGTCACGCCTCATGGCCCACTTCTGTGTGTGTGTGTGTCTGTGTGTGTCTGTGTGTGTGTGTGTGTGTGTGTGTGTCTGTGTGTATGTGTGTCTGTATGTGTGTGTGCAGCGTGGATATTGTTGGTACATGCATTTCTGTAAAGCGCCTAGATTTGTGTCCACACGGGAGTGGGCGCTGTAGAAATAACTACCTTGTTATTATTATTATTATTATTATTGTTTTTATTATTATTATTACCTTATTGTATTGCAAGTGCCGTAAAACTGTTCCCAAAGTTTGTGGTTGGTGGATGCTCTGGTGTGGTTTGCTTCTTCTTTTCTATCAAACATCTATCTTCCTTATCTCTCCTCCTTCCATCTTTTGTGTTTGTTACTCTCTTGTAACACCTCTAATCTTGGACACTTATATGACCTTATTATTGTGTTGCAAGTGCTGTAAAACTTT